TATTTTATAAAAGTGGCTTTTCTTATGTCATGTAGCTCCCTAACCCAGCTTCATATAATATTGTTATGAAATGATATGTTAAGGTGGATATTAATCTTGCTTGATATGATGCCTAGAAGCACAAAACAGATTTTTTTAATAAAGTATTGCAATAAATGCTTGTTATGTTTAGAAAAGAATTTTGGTTTTCTGAGACATGTGTTAGGATGTGGAGATTTATTTTTTTTGTATTATTTTATTGTATCATAAATTATTGAGGAAGGTATGTTAAGTTTAGAAGTGACGATGAGGCCTTTTGTACCAGAAAGATAGGTGCTAATTATTTGTTTATATTGTTAGGGACTTAGCTTAAAACCTTGCATTTATTATATAACAGGAAATTATAAAATAGAAAAAATAAACATGGGGAAATTTTTTGTAAACATAATCAAATTGAAAAGAAAATGTGTTTTAAAAAAAGTTTTTCATCATGATCAGTCTATTATATTGACTGATTCTAGTAATTTATTATAGGGGTATATAATACTTGACTTCAAAATAGATTTTTTAGACTGATGTTGTTAATTAGCTTGGTTTTATATATATATATTTTATGGAATAATTTTTGAAAAAGAAGCAAAAAATGTCTGTAGTGTTTTGAAAAGAGTTGAAAAAGCTACTAAATATAATAATGTCATCTATATAGATAAGTATTTTTGATTTTGATTATATTATATTAATAACTTGAGTAACTATTGAATCATAAAAGATGGCCCAAAGAAAAAGTGTTAGTATTTTATTCTGGTCAATGCCATTGTTGGTATAACAAGAATTTAGTTATTTGATTCAAATACACCTTTTTTAAAAAAGATTTTTAAAAAAAGTTAAACATAAATTTTGATATTTAGTTATTAATTTAATGAACTGTTTTTTTTTTAATATTATTAATTAACTTGTTAAATAAATATAAATTAAAAAAAAAATTGATAAATAATATATTAAATAAAATACAAGCAAGTATTATTTGATATTAGCTAAATATTAAAAAAAGTAAACAGTAGAAAAGATATCAAATTTTATTATTAATTAATTAAGAAAAACTATTGTTCTATACATGTTGCTGAAATTTGTAGATCTTTGACGCAATTGACACAATTATTTGACATAATTAATTGAGTTACTATTAAAACATATAAATAATTGAGTCATGACACAATTATTTTTGAGGATTTTGGGAATTGAGTCAACAGCAAAATAATTTATGCCACATGTATATATTGTTTTATAAAGATATCCTTTAATAATTAATTAGCAAATTCTAATTAATTTTATCAAAATATATCAAATATTAGCATATTAAATTGTAAAATAAAAATTATTAAACAAAGCTTATAAAAAACTAATAACAATAATTAAGTTAATTAAGAAAAAATATAATAAATAAAAAATAATACTAAATTTTATCTTTTTTTATATTTATATAAATATACTGTATATATAATTATAAGTTATTATATATTTTTGATATTTTTTATTTAAATAAATAAATAATTATTAGATAGATTTTTTTTATTTTTTTCAAATAAAAGATACTTATACACATATGTTTTTATTTATTATTTTTTTTTTAAGATGAAAATACGATGTTTATAAGATCTTTATTGATAAGTACTTATACCAATTACATTTGTGAATACTAGGACTCATATAAGTCAATACATTAAGTACTCTATGTAGATTATTCCTCACATCTACCTTACATCCAGCATCCAGAAACCTATTGCCTTTAGCAATTTCTTTTGTAACATTAGGTGAGAATTTATAAAGTATAGAAATCCTACCACTAGTTTAAACTATCTAAACTATATGATTTAGCTTTGTCCAAAGATGATTTGATTAGAGAGATTAGTTCAAGTACCTCTTTACCTTATCACCAGATCTCAGATCACATTATCACTAACCTAAGGCATCTTCTGCAAGACTATAAATCTTCTTAATACATGTGACTAGTTGTTTTTTAAACCAATTAGGCTCTGCATCAGATTGAAATATTTTGGCTAGGGTTTTAATCACTATTGAAAGAAGAGAATCGGAGTTTGATTAGGATAGGATACAGCCCAGTCACATATATGTTTTTATTAAGTTATTTGTATTCAATTATATATATATTCAATCCTATTTAAGTTGATCTTGTATTTCATCTATAGATTTATTCAGTATACTAATTGAATATCATAAAGATAAATCTATACTCTAAATAAGATTTTTAGGAAATAGAATTCTATTATTAATTCTATTATTAATTTTAAACTATCTAAACTAATTTAAATCTTGTCTTAATTGTATTTATTATAAAAAAGATACAATTATTAGAAATTATAAAAACACTTGAATATTTTAATACTTTTTTATTTAAAATTTTAGAGAAAATAATTTACTCTTTGTTACCACCTATAGCTTCAGGTTATATCAAGTATATATTTGAAATATTCTTTTTTTTAAGCAAGTGCCAGATTGAAATAGTTCTAAATTAGAACATTTTATATAAAAAGTTTTCTATTGCTAGTTTGAATTTGAATTAATAGATTTATTCTTATAGTTAGATTAAAAGTTTTTTCTTATATAATATTTTTTATTTCAATTCATTTTTAGTCTATATTTATCAAAAAAATCAAAGATTTTATCTTTATACAGCCCAATTGAATTTGGTTATATTTAAAGCTTATTGATATATGAGAGGAAATTTGTATTGTCATATAAACTGATGTCATAATAATCCCAAATTTCTAAAATCTGAGATATCTTCATTATAGTTGATTTATTTCTTATATGTCTTTCTTGGTTATAGCAATTATAATTAAAATAGTTAGAATAGTTAGAATAGTTATTATAGTTGTTATAATTGTACTATAATAGTAGCATATATTGTATATAAAGGAAAAGATCAAATTAAAAATAAAGAAAGAACTTCTACAAAAGAAACCAAGTGACAATTTAAGTAGTTGTTTCACCATAAATGTATATTGATAAATTGTAAGTTTATTTATAAAGTTTAAGGAAGAAACTCAGACCAAATTATTACATTTCAGTTTTAAAAACAGTAGTAATAGAGAAGGGTTTGGATAGCCCCTTACAGATACAATATATGCAAGATATTCAATAAACCTATATATAAAAAATAATATATAAAAAATAATATATATTTTTTGCTTACTATAGATATTGAAACAGAAATAAGCATTTGAAAATCTGGTAATACTACTTATTATATAGGTCAGATAGTTTTTTTTATAAATTAATATTTGTAAAATAATATTCAAACAAATTTGAAATTAGAAATTATTATTTAATAGTTATTGAAATATTAAATTCAAATTAAAACAAATATTAATAAATAACTATCAAATTATTAATCTAATTGCATTTTATTATAATAATATAAGACTTAAATCTTAAATAATTGATTATATATCTAATCAATTTTTGACAAATAAATTATATTGATTTTTAAACAATATATATAATATTCAATAAACAATAATTTTTTAACAAGTTATTGTTTGTATTCTAAAAAATTAAAATCAATGGTATCTTTTAAATATTGAATTTATTAGTTAAATATTATAAAAATTTTTATAAAAACCATAAATTTTTGAAGTTTATTTTTAAACATAATAACAATAATTTTCAATTAATATAATATATATGAAATTGAAATTGAAATTGAAATTTTTGATTCTATTATATTATTACAAAATATAAAAGATTTATTTATTTTAATTCAATTTGTAAATAATAAGGAATTATTAATTTATATTTAGAACAAATTCAATTTTTTTTACTTATTTGATTAACTTATCCAATAATATTAAATAGTTAAATAGTAAAAATTTTTTGTAAGTAATTTTTTTATAATTCTATATTTAAATTAAATCTTTGCCTTTAATTTGTAGATTTATCTTTAATATTATTACAAATTTATGTTTAATAAAAATTATATAGCTAATGTATATTTGCAAAAATAAATAAACAAACAAATATTATATATAAATACGTATTATAAAAATTTTTTGAAATTAAAAAACAAATCTAAATAAAGTATTAGACTTTATAAAATAAATTATTATTATTGTTTTGTTTGATTTTATTAATTATATATTTTAAATAATTTATTGATTTATTATTGTTTTTTTTGTAAGAAAAATAAAGTCAAACAAGTAAAAACATATAATATAATCAAGCAAATTACAATTTATTTTAATTTGATATAATTAAAATTTTTTAGATAAAGTTTATTTGAAATAGATAAAGTTTGTTTGAAATAGATAAAGTTTGTTTGAAATAGATAAAGTTTATTTGAAATAGATAAAACTTTTTATATGTTTAAATGTTTCAAAAGTCTTTGAATATCATTTTTTTGTTAGTTTTTTTTATATCAAATTTTGTAACCAGATATATATATATATATATTAAACTTTGGAACATTTTCTAAAAATTCATAAAATATTATTATTATAATATAAATCTATAATATTTTAAATATTTTTATTTAAGATGTTATTATTTATCTTTATCATTTTATTTTTTTTTAAACACTTTTTCCTACTGTATATTGATATGCATTAAATAAATTTTAAAATTGATAATTATATGATTTTTACATTGATTTATCAACCTAGCTATATAGGTATTGTATTTTTATTTATTTTTTATTTTAAAATCTTATTTACTGTATATAACTACTATATTGTCTCATTTATTATTTTTTGTGGTATGTGCATGTATAATAACACAATACTGTATATTGTTTCTTATAATATGAAATTGTTAGGTTTTACCAAAAATTTGAAAAAAAAAAGTGAAATAAAGATACAAACTTTATAAAGCTTGCGGAATTTTCGGAATTTTTTGAATCGCAAGGATATACAGTAGTGTGAAAAAGGGGAAATGCTTTGAAAGTCGAAAGTTTATTATGAAATCTATTAATCAAAAGAGCACCAGTTTGTGTACACCTTCCATGTTTAAACAAGTTTCAAGTGAATTTCGTAAAAATCGAGCATCTTGATAAGAAAAAAATAGATTACCACCAAGTAATTTTTTTTTTTTGGAAATACAATATATACCTTTTGCGGTGCCCTTTTATTCAATACTTTAATTGGCTCGACTGACTTATAACCAGATTTCCTAAATACAGAAAAATGTTCTAGTCAAAAAATTTTTAATACTGTGTATGCACTCAACATTCCACCCACCAGGCAAAAAATACGATTAACCCATGTTTCGGATCTTTTTCAATTGATTCTATTTCGGCAATATCTCTCTCCCAGTTTGCGGAAGTCCATGGATTGCAATCTACCTTCCTAAAATTAACTTCTCTATCACTTTCGCTATCGTAATCATCAATCACGAAATCATCCTCCTTTATTTCACGTCTTTTTTTCCGACCTAGACGCATTCAATATTTGAGCACTCGGATACCTTGTGTTTTTTTCTGATTATTCACAAAAGATTGTTGGACATAAAATCAGAACGCCCTAATTCAGTTTTAACATTACCTTTATTATCCTTTATGCATTCTCGCGGCGGGTGGAATGAACTTTGTGATAGATTGTTTGATGAAACATCAATTTGCATCGGAGAGAACAAATCTTTGTCATTGTCTATTGCTTCGTCTCTATTAGACGAGGGGTAAGGATATTCCCATGCTGGAACGAAATTTATATCTGCTTCATCTTTGGATTTTGTCCAATAAAGGTAAGCAAAAAACATGGATAAATCAATCATTCAGGGAAAATTTAGTCTCTGAGCCTAACCATCAATTACAATTTCTTCCTCTTCATCACTATCATTAATATTAATGTAGTTGTTCTCGGAGAAATCCATACGTGATTTAATCACGAAAATTTTTGTTTCGTAAAGAAGGAGATTGACATTCAATAAAACGAGGCCTTATAGTGTAATGACCATTTTCAAATTATCGAACGTTAATTTGAAAGGTTGTGATAGTTTGCTGAGATGGCAAATGATTTAATAAGGTCATCTTGAAATAAATTTTGACGAGTCATTACATTCATTATTATTATTATTATTATTATTATTATTACAATATTTGTGATAAACTGCGTAGCGCTTCAAAAGATAACCAAATAAACTTTCCAGTTGCTCTTCAGGATTTAAGGTTATAAAGTGTTTTGCAAAAAAAAAATGAAGTAACATGAAAACAAAAAATATTTTATCAAGTACAGTAATATGTTGTACAGTATATAATTCGAAACGGAAATTTTTGCTATAATACCGGCCAGATACGGCAAAACTAGTGACCATCAACCATTCTATTTAGAAAGGAAAAAAAAAGACATAAGCTATTGTGATTTATTTGTGCTAAAATGATACCGTAACAAGTTTTGGCTGTTTGTAATACGTTACCTTGTGGAAGAGAATTTCCGAACTTAATTGAAAATCTTGGTTCATTCGGTATTCGGGGCTCATCGACAGACTTCCATTGAGTCCGACAGTTTTGGAGATACTCATAACGTAAGTAACAAATGTTCAGATAGACATTTTCCGAATTTTAATAAAAGGTTTTTTTTATTTCTACAAATAACGCCGTGGCACTCTATTGTATTGAGCAGACAAAGTTTTTTGTATAAATGCAAGTGAAAATTGGAAATTTGGCGTAGTTTAATATTTCATAAAAGGTGGCAGTTTTGTAAAAAATAATAATGATAATTTGCTTCGACTTAAAACCTTTTGAAAAATATTTTTCAGCGAATTATTCGTTATTTATTTATTTATTTTCTATTGTATTAGAGAAAGATGAGTAGAAAGAAAAAAACATCCGAAGTTGATGGTGTCGATGGAAGAAATATCAAGAATGATGCGAAACCTTTCAGCATGGAATGTCAAAAATCTATAGCGAAGCACGCTTACAACGCATTTAGCGCAATCAGTGCATTTATACCTTGGTTTGATGCGGTGACCAGAGTTATCGACGAAATTCTCAGTATTCAAGAAGATACCGAATACAACAGTGAAACTTGTTTAATTCTGATCGAACGTGTTGATAATGTCTCGCCAGCAGTAAGAAGTTTGAGGAGGCAAAAAGAAACAAACGAAAAAAAATTTCAAAATCGTGCTTTCAATCGCACGTTCGTGAGATTTCATAAAGTTTTAATCGACATCCGAGAATTCATAAAAGATGTTTCGCAGCTTAACGGATTACGTAAATTTACATACGCCGGTGAAATTAAAAAGAAATGCAACAGACTTTTGCAATCGTTTGAATCAGTTTGCCAGGATCTACAGTTTAATATAATAATTACGATTGAAGCTCGGGAACGCGAACAAAGAATACTAGACGAAGATGTCATTAAAACTCAAAAGGTATAACTCATTGGGCATTTATCATTTTACATAGTATTTTTTTTTTTAACATTGATTATTTTAAAAATAAAGAAACTCGAGAAAATGATTCAGATGCAGGGAGGAAAAATCGATCTGATCTATGAGCAAGTATATCAGATGATAAAGAAAGCCAATAAGGGAGAATATATAATTTCCGATGTGCCGTTTATTAAAGTTTGCGATATCGCAGAACCTGGTCGGAGAAACTCTCCGGGAAACAGAGGGAAGGTTTGTAAGAAGGTTTATAAAACCATACCGGTTGCATTTAAACGCGTCAAGATTCCAAACGACATGGAGAGCACACGAAGGTTTAGTAAGGCACAATTGGCCATATTGAATCAGATACAGGCATCTCCGAGGATCATAAAATTTTATGGTCTTACCCGTGCGGATGGAGAGGACATTATGGTTATGGAATGGGCCGAGCATGGAAATCTCAAAGAGCTATACGAAAACGACCGTAGTATGGGTTGGCAAACGAAGTTGAAAATTGTCCACGATATATGTGACGGTTTGGTGTTTCTACAAGCATGCACAATCTATCACCACGATATACGTTGCGAAAACATTTTGGTACGTAACCTACACCGCAACAATGTTTCTACTTAGCTTGCATAAGCTAATGATTCGTGATAATACAGGTCGTTGAAGATGGAGGGTATAAAGCAAAAATTGCGAACTTTCACCTAAGTCGTAAAACCGATCAGGACACCAATCCAATAAATAATCTTAACGATGTGGTTAGATGGCTGGCGCCGGAAAAGCTTAACCCAGATAAAGAAGTAAAGTATTCGTTCGCTTGCGAAGTGTTTAGGTATGCAATTCTTTTTGATTGCGAAGAAATGCATGCATTTGTGTGTGAAAATTTTTTTTTGAAATCTGCTACTTTTTCATAGTTTTGGCATGCTCATCTGGGAATTATCTTTCCAAAAAGTACCCTATGAAAATATGAGCTTCAATGATATATGCATTCACGTCAGAAAGAACAAGAGAGAAGAACTTAACTTTGGGTTGAATTCGATGTCTTTTATCACCAAAACTTTTTCAAAAATCATTAAAGCAGGTCAGTAGATGCACACGCAGTTCACGACTTTCAGCGGTTGTTAAATAATTTTCGTTTTTTCACTCCCCCCCCCCCAATTGAAGCTTGGAACGGGGTGCCAACATTAAGACCAAAGATCAGTGATATTTTACTCGACCTACAGGATGTGCTTGAAAAAAATTCACCCAAACTATACCCCACCCAAGCTTCTGGTGATAATCAGTCGCAGTTAGAACTACCGCAAAGTTTTGGCAGTGGCAATAGTGATAAAACCGATGACTATGAAGATGACCCTAATTTGGAAAATATATCAATTCCTCTGTTAGAGGAGGGCAAAAGGGCTCACAAGCTAAAAGATTTCAGTACTGCTTTCAATGTCTTCAAGATTCATGCCGAATTGGATGATCCAGTCGCGAAATACTGGAAAGGTGTCTATCTTCTGGAAGGTCATGCTGGTGAAAAAAATATTCCCGAAGCCATCAAACTTTTCAAAGAAGCTGCTGATAAAAACAATTCCGATGCTCAGCTACGTTATGCATTCATCAAACTTCAAGCTAAATGTTTCGAAGAGTTTGTCGAATATTTAATAAAATCTGCGGACAATAATAATGCGACGGCAATGTTTAACTTGGGTGATATTTATTATCATGGGAAGTACAACATAAAACAAGATAAAAAGAAAGGAAAAAAATATTTGGAATTGGCCGCATTAAAGGATCAACCAAAAGCTCTCAAGATGCTTGGGGAGATAAATGCTGTTCATGACGCTGATTAATGAAGGCTTTTAAAGAAGATTAAATTAGTTTATGCTTCATTGATTTTTTGTTTTTTATTTTTGGAATATGCAATGTTAAGTAAATTATTCATTTGAAGAAAATTTCTCCGTCATTCAATTTATAATAGCGAATTTACTGTACTATATACGTATTGTCCAGTTCTGTTTATTTTATTCCCTCAAATGGCAATATTTATTTAAGTATATATACAATTCGTTTATAAAGTATGGTGTTAAATTGAATCAAGTTAGTATTTCTCGCCAGCAACAGTTTTTCTATGTAGCTCCTCGTGTAGTTTTGGCAATACCTTTTCTTTCATGTGCTTTTCAGCTGTATTGCAAGCAGTTCCCACCAATGCTCTGGGTGCATCATATTTATCCATCATCACTTCTACAAATAAAATTTGAGATGGTATCTCGGGAAGTTGAGAAGAGGCAAAAGATTCAAACTCCGATTTGGTGGAAAGTTTGATAGTGCGACACACTGAATCAAATAGGGTCAAGTAAAAATGAATGCTTAAGTGATCGAAGTACAAAGCTCGGCGACGCAATATGGAATGGTACCTTTATCAGAGCCGCCAAAATACTCTAATGTTTTATCAAATTTCCATTGCGATATGTCATTGTATTTACGGTCCATTCCATGAAGCATTCGTTCGATGGTGAACCCATTGTTGTTAATAAAGAAGATTACGGGTTTAAGATCATGACGAATTATAGTAGACATTTCTTGAGCTGTCACTTGACTGTAAAATTTATATCATGGTCATTCGTGTTGTTAGTACGTACAGTAACCTCTTTTTTTGCTATGAAGGAATACTCACAATGAACCGTCTCCAACAAATAAACACACTCTTCGCTTCTCTTTGAAATTGGTCGCGGCTAGTGAGGCACCCAAACAAGCACCAACGCTATAACCAATGCTTCCATATAAAATTTGACCAATGAAGGCAACACCCGAAGGAAACTTGATATCCATTAATCCGAATATAGAAGTACCCATTTCGCCGACGACTATATCGTTTTTTCGTAATATTTTCGAAGATACCTCATGCCAAAACCAATTCTGGGTGATGCGTTCATCTTTAACGTCGTCCTCGAGTATCTTATGCTGATAGGGAGGTGAAATTTGAGGGCCAGGCATAGACTCGAGACATGCTGTGATTTTTGGTAGTGCATGTTTCATCGACACTCCTATTTAAAAAAAAAAAGAACATATTTCTCATTATTCGTGTTAGATTATCCATAACTTGCAATTTAAATCCGACTTATTACCTCCATAGGTAGCAAAAAAAACTTTGATATAATTATTACTTAGTTCGATCGTCTTTGCTGGCGATACATGGTACGTGAATCCACTATAAAAAAAATTATTAAGAGACGAAGGTCTAACCATGGATTTTCTACATGCAGTACTACAGTATACTGTACATACCCTGTGTTGAAATCGGATCTAATGGCCCCAACTGAAATAATTAGGTCTGCCTTTTCAACTTCGTTCTTTACGTGCGGCTCACTTACTGATCCTATGTAAATTCCGCCAAAGAGAGGATGGTCTTCTGAAATGATACCTTTACCCATTGGTGAAGTAAAGAACGGAAACCCTGTCTTCTCGATAAAATCCAATATTTCCTTTACAACATTGTGCCGTGATGCGCATGCATCGATGAGGACAATGACATTAGCTGATCTATGAATATGATGAACGACCTTATTGATTGCTGCATATTCTACTTCATGCACATTCTCAGGAATGGTAAAGTCCAGAGGCTGGGTGAGGTCAGCGAAGGTCTCTTTCACACAAATGTCTGCAGGAATCGAGATATAAACGGGTCGAGAACGAATGTAACATTCCTTTAAAACTCGATCAATTTCATCTTTAGCGTTATGATGAGTGAGCACTGTTTGAGCAACAGTGATGTTTTCATACATCTTGTAATATGTTTTATAGTCTCCATTTCCAAGCGTATGATGCAACATCGCTCCCTGAGACTGGAATTCTGTGGACGGCGTGCCGACAATGTGCACCACCGGAATCATTTCAGAGAATGAACCTGCGATTGCGTTCATGGCCGAGAGTTCACCTACTCCGAATGTTGTCACAAGAACGCCCATCTTATTCACCCTTGCGTATCTGCAATTTTACATACAATAAATTTTGGAAGATCTATAAAGGCAACGGCAAGGATATGCTAAAGATGCAACATACCCATCAGCTGCATATCCGGCATTCATTTCATTACAACAACCGATCCATTCAATCCCTTCCTCGTCCTCAATAACATCAATAATTCCCATGTTAAAATCTCCTGGTTGACCGAAGACATGTTTGACTCCAAGTTGCTTTAGACGACCGAACAAATATGTTGCGATTCCCATATTACTTGACTGTGGTTGCGTATCAGGATGAGGCATTATGGCGTTGTAATTAGTAGAAAAAGAAAAGGTTCCCTTTTAAAAAAACTGAATTCCTTATACGTAATTATTAATAATCATACATTAATGCGTGTAAACTTCGTCATAATTACGGAATATTTAATTGACGTGTGAAAATCATTTATGTAAAGGCGAAATAATCTGATTTAGAATAGCAAATTTCATAACGCGATGACATAACATATTCTATGAAAAAAAAAAAAAAAAAATCCCTTTTAAAAGCTTCGTTAATACATATTAAAAGAAATCATGCCGAAAAGGTTTTTTTTCATACAATGTAAAGCATCAAATTTTAAATTTCTTTATTAAAATCACTTAAAAGTAATTTTTTAAAAAAATCTATTATTAATAGTCATTATGTTATGTTAAAATGATAATGGTGAGAAAGAGTAGAATTTTTATAATATTGGATTTTTACACACTATCATTTAGAAAATTAATCGAAGTAAATTAGTAATCAAATCAATAGACTTTTTTTAAAAATATATATAATAAATAAATAAAGTAAATTCTAAAAAATTCAACAATTCACTGTATACTTTAACTTGTTCTAAATTGATTTTTTCATTATTGTAAAACGAATTCGTGACATTCGTTTCAACTTGAGCATTGTTATAATTGTTTAAATTTAAAAACGGGAATTGAATTTTATTTATTTATTTTAATGAAATCATATTATTATTTTATATATTTCAATAATATTTTTGAAAAACATTTATATTAAATAAAATAATGATTATTATTATTTTGATAGGTAAACATTGTTTCTTTTTATTTGATTTGATTTGTATAATGGAAAATGTAATGCATATTATGAGAAAAAAAACATTTCTTTTTATCTGATATGCAAAATGTTGATTATTTTATTTCATTCTTTTTTTAATATTTTTTTTAATATTTTTTTTCATAATACTTTTATTTTTTCTTTACTTCTAATTTGAATGTACATTAATATGTTTATTAATCTCTAATCAGAAAACCATAATACAATATAATATAATCATTATATCAATATTGATCATTACATATACGTATATCAAAATGTTTATTAATAAGTTTATAAATTTGTATATGATTTCTAAATTTTTAATATTAAGACTACCATATTTTCTATTTTATCTAACTATTTATTTTATTAACTATCTTATTATGAAAAAAAAAATAGGTTATTAAACTATTACTATGCAATATTAATTAGTTAAAACTTTTCAAATTTTTATAATTAAAAAAAAACAAAATTTTTGTTTTTTTAATAAAATAATATTAAATCGTTCACTTAAAACATTATTATTTTATATTTATAACTATTACTTTATTATGACTTTGTGATCTTAAAAAATATTTTTTTTGTTTTAAATAAGATATACAGTATATATATATATATATACAGTTTATTTTTAAACTTTTTTAAAATTTTATTTTGACTTAATAATTATTGATTATTAAATATTTTAATAAATAGATAATAACTAATAAAATTATATTTATTATTATAATTTTTTTTATTTAAATATTTTAATCACTTAATCATTAATTTTTTCAATTTTTTTATATAATATAAAATGGATATATATATTTATATTAATAATTTATTAATAAGTTTATTTCAAAAGTTTTATTGAAAATTTGAATATTTTTTAATTTAAATATAAATTTAATAATATTGTTGCTATATAATAATAAAATTTTTAATTAATTTTAATTTTTAAATCTTTAAATAAAAAATATATTTATTTAAAAAGTGATATATACAAAATTTTTATTGTTAATCAATAAAAATTACAAATATTTATTTTTTTTTTTTTTTCTGCGAGGCACTTCTCAAATTGTGATCTTTATTAATTGTTGATTTGATTTTTACAGAGATAACTAAGTATAAAATTTACAACAATAGGGATACATTGAGATATGTTGCTATAAACATC